CCGATACACTCTGAATATGAACGCTTTCATCTTTTGATTGCTCGTGTTGTATTAAATCGCTAGTTGCTTTTTGTGGTTTTTCTTCTTTATCAATAATATGTGATGAATCTGGGCTTAATTTTGCTTTTTCAGAGAATGTCGGGGGAGTTTTATTTTCGATTTGTTCCTTTGCGTTATGAATGCTATTTACTATTTGAGATAAGCCGGTGACATTCATTTCAAGTTTACTATCATCGAGTAGTGAGGGTTGTGTGGAAATATCATCTTGCCGTTCACCGTAGTTGGACATGGTTCCGAACACTTGTGTGTATTCAGTTATCGGCAAATTTGACGTTTCAAAATTTTTTGCAACATCATCCTTCGATATTGCCATTGGTTGTTTCGTTGAAGAATCCAACACTGTAGTTTCTTCTAACATTTTTGTTTCTGGATCATATCGCCTAGCCAAATAATAATCCATGTAATTATCAGTTGTACAGGGTTTTTGATCAGTTTGTTTCTCTTGAACAGTCGTAGATGAAATAGCCGATGTTTCCGTAGTATCGAGATCAGGTGATATATAGTGTGTTGAGGGCTGTTGCGTCCAAGCAACAATATTGTTTTGGGATTCGTTATTGACAATCTCATCAGGTTTTTCTTCTGCATAAATCATCTTGTCTTTAATTTCATAATATGGAATAGCCGCATTCAAGTCTGTCTCACCGGATTTATCACCGTCGAGTATTGGCCGTTTTTCAGAATACGTTGGTGACTTTACGTCGTGAATTTTTTGCTGTTCGAAGCTAGCTTCTAGTTTGCTATTACTTAACGGAAGCTCCGGCGATTGTTGAATACTGCTGAACATCGGTGACGCTATTGGAGACGACAAACTTTGTTCTAATGCATAATGTCGATTTTCCCATAAATCTTTGATTTGGCCATCAATTGATGTTTGCGATGTATCAGGAACAAAAAATGTCGTACTAGTATTTTCAACAGCTTTATCATCATTTATTGAAATTATTGGATGGATAACTTTTTCCTCAATGGTTGTATCTGATTCGAACGTTTCGGTTGATTTTAGTGAATGAAAGTCAGTCATAATATCATCACTTGTTTTTGAAATATTATTTGTGGCTTGTGACTGCAACGGTTGTTGAGGCATATGGGCATACTCTTCCGATTTTACCGCAGTATCGTCGGATATAGGAGTATATTCAAATAACGGTACTTTTTCAGTAGATTTTGACGTTACCGTTGATGTTGCTAATGTTTCAGAGGGTTGTTGTACAGCCGAAGAAATCGTAGTACCCTCTCGTTGAGTTTTTAATTTTTCTTTTTGATTTGAGATTTTTTGTATTAACTCTGTTACTTGTGGTTCGGTAGGAAAAGAAATAATTAATGAAAGGTTTTTATTTGTATTCTCCACATTTTGTTTATCATCATCATGCTTCTCAGATGGTATTGGTTTGGAAGAACTGAGAGTGTCATTTTGTGGTATTCTGCTTTCGTTCATCTTGACCTCTTGTTTAAGAGTATTTTCATCCACTTCTTTGATTATTTTCGAATGTTGATCAATGTTCGGTGCAGTAGTGCCGATCTGGTTATCTTTCTGATTAGATTTAAAGTGTTGCCGAAAAACATCTGCAACGAGCGTAACAGGGTTAATTAACAAGGTACTTTGTTCAATAATCGACGAAGATGGTGTAGCACTAATAGAAGATTTATTTTCTTCTAATTCTTCTTTTGGATGAAGTGTACTTTCTAACATTTGTTCTGTTCGTCTAGGTTGTTTCGTACTTTTAATGTCGTCAAATGTATCAGCCAATGCCGTGTTTGGTTTTTCTTGTGTATTCGATTTCGGTAAAATATAAGAAGAATCGATATTAGAAGAAGAAAACGGCGAAAATATCGTTGTAGTAGTTGTTTGTCCTAATAGTTTATTTTCATCACTCGAGCTGCTCTTGGATAATATTATGTTATTCATTATTTCTTCGAGGAATGGATGTGCAGATGGTCGTTGTTCAGCTGCTGCGCCTAAAATAGAAATTTTCTGTTATACTTTATTGTATCTCTTTTAAGCAGAACTTTTGCACATAACAAATACCTTGTCAAAACTCTCAAGATTACAGTCGGAATACTCTTAAAAAGGTCAGGATTCGGGACATTACCATAGACACTTAGTTAGGAGAGAACCCAAGACAACAACAGAACTCGACTATAAAATTTTCTCTATTTGTAATATAGAAGAAGCGTTTTAGATGCGAAAAATCACGAAAATTTTTTTAAAAAAGATCAAACAATTAATTAGTCCTAGAAAACAGTCACAAGTCGCCTTTGTATCATTATCAGTACACATCTGCCTTTAATTCAAAAAATTATCACTCACTATTTATTTAAAAAATCGTAGTTAAAGAGAAAAATATTGCCTTCATAATATTTTTGGTATGAAAAAACAATATCCCTTTTACTGGAGGTAAGGAACATAAATTGCATTATTCAGACGAGTGAAGAAACACACAATAGCAGATCCAGGAGGCAACAAACAGTATAAAAGTTACTATCGGCTAGGGCGAGTCGGTGAATGAAAAAGGATGAGTCGACAAGCGATCCTATCGCTAGAATATTTTGTTTGATGCCAAAAACAAAACCGTACTCAAATACTTAATCGACCACGAAATCGACTTTGAATCTGATAGGTTAATTCTATCATTAGTGACGTAAAAAATGAAAAACAAACAATTACTAACATGGTGTCCGACTAAATGAGTAGTCGCACAGACGGCACGACAAGGTCAAAGCAGAGGGACTGTAGCTCCAACACTCACGAGCGAACCTTCCGCAGTAATAAATCGCGTTTTGATCGACATCTGGTAGGTTATAGGTTATCGACCATGCTGATTCCGAATATGCCCATGGGGCTTCCCCATAGCCCTTCAAAGATCTAGTCTTCTGGAAAACCAGTTTTTCAGAAACCCCAAAAAATAACCCAAACCTTTCTTAACAATGCAGAATTGTAGCGCGCTAATTTCTGATTAAAATGAGACATCTCCCAGCTCTACACGACCTTTCTCTGCAAAGTTATAGAATTTGTAAGAAGAGCCTTAAATTAATTATTTCTGTGGCTTTAAGCTGACAATGAACAAAAAGCGATTTATCACCTCGGAAGGTTCCCTCGTCAGAGTAAATTTCTCGTATTTTTGGCTAAAATAGACGCAAATTTCCACCAAAATTTCTGAAAGTAGAGGGTTTATACCCCTAACTGAACTGTTTGCACTACTGAACTGTTTTTGTCAATTATGCTCGGCTAGATATAGTAGCAATACCAGACAGGTTGATATCTAATTCGTTAGTAGAACTATTTAATAAGTTTCTCTAAATCGTAGCCGTATGCATAACATTACACTAAGATGACGTTTCGAAGCAACGGATCGAAGATGCGTATGAGCATTGCAAAGTCGTGTTTATTATAGACTGTGCACAGTATATGCAATATACGCATGCATATATGGCAGAAGAAATCTTTTGGATTTTTATTCACTAGCTACAGCCATTCTGCAAAGAACTTTGAAAGGAGAAGTCATAAATTGGATGAATCAAGCTGACTCTAATGGATCACCATATCAAAAGATTTCTTTAAAAACCTATTATCACATCAAATATCCAGTCTTAATCTTAAACAGAAGCTGAAGATAACTTCTAGAAGCATGTTCCTTCGTGTAAAACTTCAGTTAGAAAAGCAATTTATTTCTTAAGTCCAGTCGAAATTACAACTGAAATTAAAATATATTTTAACATAAATTTCGAATCCTGCTTTATAGAGGTATAAGAAAAATAAGTACGATTGAAGTTAAGGTAAAAAACTTACACACCGATTAGCACCGAGTTTTAGAAGTCGAATCCTGAAATAAGTGCTAACTAAAGTGTATGAATGAAAACTATAAGTATTACCTTTACTAGATTCTGATGATAACTCTGTAATATTATCTTTGTTTTTCGACTCTAATAGTCTAAGCTCAATTTGTTGAACAATATTTGCTAATTCCGATACTGATTGTGTGTTTTCTGGTAATTCGTTCAATGCTTTAATCGCGTCGTTCGTCGTATTTGTTAATCGTTGTGGATCAATGACATTTTTCTCTATAACTGATTCATTGATGTGTTGTACTATTTGGATTAATTCATCGATATTTAAAACGGAGACGGGCTCTGACTTTATTTCAGCACGAGAATCCGGTAAACTTTTCAAAATTTCAGACATTATATTTGTTAAATCATGTACGACTATTTCCTGTTGTTGATTTTGAGAATTCATGACGTCACTAATAACATTCTCAGTATTTTGACTATCGTTTAATTGTTGAGGTGCATCTGACTGTGGAGTATCAGTAAAGTTAGAAATAACATTTTGGATCTTTTCATCGGAATTTATGAACGGCGTGATAATCGTTTGCTGTCGAGTTTCCAATACAGCTTGTTGCTTATTCGAATCTCCATCAGCATTGTTTTCTCCCGCTGGTTTCTCGTGTGAATTTTCCTCAGATGTGAGTGCAACAGCAGTTGTATCATTAACAGATTTCTCCGGCTTACTCGAAAATATCTCTGTGGTTTTACCATCGGACGAAGATTCTACCGTTGAGACAATTTTTGAGACTAACTCATTCGTAGCTTTCAGGGGCACAGCCAAGACGTCCTGCGTACCTTCCATTACATATGGTCGGTCGTCTTTAACTTCCTTAACTTTTTTCTTTTTTTTTCTTTTAGTAACCGCTCCAGCTGGCTCTTGCTCAGTCATACTTGATACCGATTCAACAACAATAGGTTCGTCTTTTCTTCCAGTGTTCGGCTGATCTTCCCAAATTTTCTCACCCGAAAAAGAGATTCTTGTTTCGCTGGCACTGTCCGCTGATGATACATTCGACAACACGTTCTGGTCAGCCCGATTCTATGAAAAAAAGTATAGTGAAAACAATACAATTGCTCTAATTCTCATTCATTTACTCCACAATTGCGTAATTCCAAATCCATCGTCCGACAACGTACTTCTATGTACTAATCCAATATGTGGTTCCTCTAGCCAGCATTAGTCTTGTCACAAAGCTTATACGTACTTAGTCACGCCATTCGATGGCAGATCTCTTCCTTAGCCTAGCATTCTGTACAAACACGTATTTGTCTCTTAGTAAATAGATGAATTATAAGAACTGCTACCTGAAGGACAGATAGCTCACTGTTACACACTGAAAATTCTCTGAAAGACTAAACTCGCGTCAACACCGAGAATATTCGATAGCCCCATGGGGCTATTGAAGCGAAGCGAGAATTTATAATTCAATGCATTCTGTAAAACTACAACTTACAGTGTCAACATGTTTAGCTTGTTTGTCTTTAGTGGATGTTTGTTGTTGTTCTGGTTGTTCACCAGTCGACTCACTTTCTGGCGTTGCATTCCAAATTAAGTTTTTCACCGTTTCAGCGGCGCTCGAAGCTGTATCTCTAAGAGACTCTTGAACATTTTGAAGTAACGATGGTTGTTTGGACGAATCATCA